ATTTTAGATTTACAAAAAAAATCTATAATTAAAATTTTATATGAAGTTCAGGAGTTAAAATAAAATTTTACCATTTCATTAAACCTTTTTATATTTTCAATTTTGAAAAAATATTATATAAATTTTATGAATTTAATTTTTTTTAAAGAAAATATATAAATATTTTTCAACTTGTTAAAAAAACAAATATATAATAAGGACAATTTAGTCAAATATACATTCCAATAATCTTTTATTCCTTTAACCAAACATGATAATCTTACATTTCTGCTAAACCAACCAAACACAAAATACAACATTCCCAGTAATCCTATTCCCTGATTATCTTTTAATCCTACTGGTAATATTACATTCCTTGAACCAAACACACCCTTAGAAGTATAATTGTAGAGAAAAGTCAACACAATTTAACCACTAAGCCAAACTATATATTTTAGCTCGTATTACAACATGTTTTATATATTCTTAAATATCGTTAATAGCAAAAATAATTGGAAGAAAAATTTGAAATAAAAATAATTTTTTAATTTTTTAAAAATTATTTTTAATTATATACACAATCATTAACTTGATTATTTTTAACTTAATTAATATTTTTTATTAAAAATATAAATTTTAAATTAATTTAATTTTTAATAAATTTAAGATGTGAATCTACTAAAACTATTATCATTTTTTTATCATTATTGAGACGGTATGTGGATGTTTCAACTCTCAAGTAGTATGCATGAATATTGTTTCTACTCCCGATTGTAAGAATAGATAGCTTGCTTATCGTTTATATGTAATATTAATATTTTTTTGTTTTTTTAGTTATATATATATATATATATAAATATTCGAATGTAGAGTTAAATAGTTCTCATATTTATTGTGCTACAAGCAGATAAACTAAGGGAAGCAACTCAAACAAAAAAAATTATAGATTATTATGAAAAAATCAATTATAAAATTATAAAAAGTAAAAATTATAATTTTATTTTTATTTTTAATTCTTGTATTCAATTATTTTTACCATTAACGATATTTAAGAATATATAAAACAAGTTGTAATATGTGTTAAGGTATATAATTTGGCTTAGTGGTTAAATTATTTACATCTTTGCATAGTATACTTAGTTTGAGTCCCCACCATAGCATTTTGACTTCTCTTTTTTCTACAATCAGTATCTAAAGAATACATAACATTTGTTGTGCAATACCACCAATTTATATTTAGGTGTTGGAGGGCAAAATCCTCCATCCACGTGGTGACATGTGTCACACCTAATTAAAAATTAAATTTATGACCAAATTGATAGAATGTATAAATATTGAGGATTAAATATGTAATTATACCAATTTTATTAATTATCGCATCAGCATTCCATTAAATGTTAACGACAAGTGGTATGATTGAATGCATTTAAATAGTTAGATTACCTAATTGACAAAAATTCAAAATGGTAAACAAAATGAAAATGGGCTATAGTTAGATAATCCCTAGTATAGTTTATCCTAAAATTTAATTCATAGGTTTACTAATTGAGAATTTGGCTCATGGTTTGGAGACTTAGAGCAATTAACCCTGAACAAACAAAGTAAAACACATAACAGAATCCCCAGAAGAAGGGATAGCTCAATGAACGTTTGAAGGAAGTCGGGATCAATTTCGAAGTTAGCACATTTAACAAAGAGAAGAGGAGAGCAAAAGCACTCGTAGGAGGGGTTAATAATTTTTTACTTATTTATAAAAATATATAGTTGGTAGGAAATATATAAATGGAGAATGAATGCATTGGCACACCACACCCCACATATTAACATAACAAGAAAAGGAAAGTGAACTCAACTTTCAAGCATCTCTTTCTTTCCATTACTGCTCCTAAAGAATGGGGAAAATGGTAAAAGTTAAATAAAAGAAAGCCAAATCTCATATTACAGTTAATTTTCTATTTCAAGTTTTTACATAACCAGAAGTGCAGCATATAAACAAATCTCCACCCCCAACCAGCCTTTTCTTCTCATCTAAGAAAGAAACTCACGTCACTGATACATGACAGCTAGCAGCTTCATTTTCTATGCTTAAATTACAGCTTTTAAGAAAGAGTTTCAACTTTTTAATATATACCATGCATTTAGGTAGGGTTGACAGAATCGTTTTAAACCAAAACAAAATTATCTCACCTAATTGATCCATTTGACTTAATTTCTCATACAATTTTTATTTGGATAAACAATATCACATATCATTTAGCTTCAGTTTTAAGCACTGTATCGTTTTTATTATTGAACTTTCGATATCTTCAATTATAGCATTGGATTTTGATATATTGCTTTGGTGCGATTATTGATACCTAAAATGTCGTCACTCTATGCATTGAAGTTTATGATTGTATTGATTTTGTTACTGAACTTTATTTTATCACTAAAATTCAGTGATATCCGATACAATTTACCCATTTTATTTTGTCCCATAACTGATGGTAGGGTAGGGCTCAAGAGACCAAGGGTTAGGGTATGTTGGGAGTAGCTTCGCCAACTTCACGTGGGTATGTCTCCACTAGATTTGACCATGAAGGCTCCTCACTAACTTATGCAGAACAGATATTAATCACTCAAAACCCCACCATTGTTGGCCACTGTCCCTTGCCAACTCATTGAAGTAACCTACCAACAGGGGCGGGGCTATAGGGTGTACAACATGAGCGATCGAACAGGCCCCAAAATAGTAAGAGCCTCAAAAAAAAATTAGATTTATTATAATAAAAATTTCATTTTTTTTGTTTAACTTCACTTTACGATAAATGAGTTCATTTTCATGACCTCCCTATCTCACATCGTTAGGATTTGAGTTAGTAATATCACCAATCTCTCTATATATACTGTATTCAAACTTTACAATTTTTAGTAAGGAATTTGCAAGGACCCCGGAATAGCAAGGGTCTCTTTTTAAAAATTTGCACAAAGCCTCTAACATCTTAGCCCCGGCCTTGCCTACCAATGATAGAAAACTTGCCCCCCAAGTTCTTTTTAATTCTGTTTTATGTTCAATATTCAGGTTATGATTGCAATTAGGGTATGTTTGTTTGGTTGTAATTGGTTTTCTGAAAAATGAATTACTGGAATTTGAATTATTGGAAAATGAATTACTGGAATTTGAAATCTGGACAATGAATTACATTTCTTGAAAACGTTTTCCGGAAAATATTTTCTGTAAAATGAATTACATTTTTCTGAAAAACATATGGAAAACGTTTTATTATGTTTAGAAGATGTTATTTAAACATTTTTCCACTAGTTGATGAGTTTTTTAAAAATTATTTATTACAAATATTAAATACAATAAATAATATTATTTATCATAAAACTTAATATTATTATTTTAAAATATTAAAATAATTTATTTATTATTAAATTTTATTTTTATAATTTTATTAATAAAAATATTAATATTGTTATATTTTAGTGAAATAAAAATATTATAAATTATATTAATTATTTATTAAAGTAATAGTGTTATATTATATTTTAAAATATTAATTAGTATATTTTAAATATCTTTATTAAAATATTATTAGATTAGTATATTAATATTAAATATATAAATAATATTATTCATTATTAAATATATAAAAAACATTATATATTTATTAAAATAAAAATATAATATCTTATATTATTATAATATAATTGATTATTTTATTATAATATTAAAAATATAATATTATATTATTATAAATATTAATAAATATATTTTAAATATTTTAATAATTAATATTTTGATGAAAATGATATTAAAATATTTTATTTAATTCATAAAATAAAATTATTTTGAGTATTTATTCTTTGAAGTGAAAAGTTCAGAAAATGACTTACGAAAAATCAGACCGTAAGTAATTTTCCAGAAAACACAAAAGAAATTTTGTTGACCAGAAAAATGTTTTACGTTGACCAACTAATTTTCCTCCAACTAAACATTGTAAAACATTTTTCGAAAAACAAATTACATAAAACAAACACAGGATTAAAACTAATTCCGTAATTCATTTTACGACAAACAAACAGACCCTTACGGACCTTAGCTCTTAGTGGACCCAAATTCAAAAGTGTCCATCAATTATATTGAACTTTAAAGAGAGGAAAGCATGCACTCTGGATATGTACTTTTCATCTCATCTATCGAAAGTTTTAATGTATAGCTATCCATTATCTATGCTTCAGTTTCATCCACTAAACATTGAGAAATTAAACGTACTTTCAAGGTTGAGAATTTTTTGTTCTTGGAACAAATGCTTAAAATCAAGATTTTGAGAGCAAAATTTGCAATATAATATATATATTATTGAAAATATATTTATTTACTTGCATGGATTTGGATTTAAACCTGAACTAATTCATCAAATTTAAAATGTCCTATTTTAATTTTCTTCAAGTTTATAAAATAGTTTTAATTTACATTGAAAACAAACTTGTTACTATTTTTTAATTTTCATATATGTTCATTCTTACCTTTTCAGAGATATTTTCAAAAATATTAATAAAAAATATTTTTCTTCTATGTTTCTTTTTAAAAAGGTAAAAAGAAATATAACCTCTCTTTTTTGAATCGCGTACCTAAATTTATCGAAAAGTGTTCGGTGCCCCATCTCCATGGTTGGCACTGTAGTTTTGCCGATATCGCTTTTATGAAGTCCTAATCTCCACTAGTTAGACGGTATTATGAAGTCATCTCTTACTGGATTTCTCTTTTGCGAGGCAACATGGAACTCTTCCTTTTCGCCAATATACTTACTACCCGTTCATCCCGCGAACAGCATTCTGCGCATCTCTCTAGAAAGACAATCTAACAAGCCCAAATTTCAACCCGTATTTTTTGCCTCACTGGCATAAACGAGTCCATCACTAACTCATATTTTCGAAAGAGAAAAAAAAAAGTATCAGAGCCGTTATACGGAGAAGAATGAGATGGATAGGTGAAGAGAAAATAACAGCACATACCACATGGCCATAAGGAGTCACAAAATATTAATCTGATGTCTCTGAGAAAAGCATATAAAGATTGCAAAAATCAGGATCAACACTCAAAGATGTAACTTGTAAGCATGTGCTAATAAAACCGTCTTGTAACATTTAATTATTTACTACTCGTGAAGAGCAGGAAACTAACTATTCATATATAACACCTCTAAACTTCTGATTATGTGAGCCAATATGAAATGATACTCCACTCAAGCATTGATCACCGGTTAATTAAAAACATAAGTTACCAACTCACGATGACAGTACATAATTCGATAACCAATATTAAGAGCATTTGAATGTTAAAACTACCTACTTCGCCAACCAGAAGCGGATTTTGGAATGAGTGTGATAGCATTCGAGGCAGCTTCTAACCTACATCATGGTTATGATTCATTTGTTAATATGAACCAAAATGCAAAAGTGAACAAACAAGGGCATCATGTACATGTTTTTTTAGACAAGCAAAGGAGGAAAGGATAGAGAAAGGACTTAGAAATCTCTTCAACTGCCTTCATAATTTCTGATGAACTTGTTTCCACCACTTGACCTCCAAAAATCATCTCATCCAGGATAGTATGTACCTGCAAAGAGTTATGAAAGATTTGCATAAATGAAGATACTACCAGGACTGCGTCTACGAGGAACATAAATGACCAAGCAAAAGCAAGGTAGATATAAATCAGAATCTTATCATAAGATGGCAGTCTAGGGAACTTTAAATCATTTTTGAGTGCACAAATAGGAAATTAAAATGATGTCACAGGAAGTGACTATTGAGTTATACTAAAACTGGTCCTTGGTTAGCAGCGCATACAGGCAATAATGTTTATCTTTACTAGAAACTTTAAATTGAATACAACAGGAACTATATGTACTGCTATCAAGTCAAAATAGTAAGGAACATAGGCAAGGCTAACTTCAAAAGTTACTCTTGGCAAGCTCCATGAGGGTTGACTCAAAAAGCCACGACACTTGGGCAAAACAAATTCCAAAGTTACTCTACGCAAGCTGCGTGGGAATTGACCTTTTTGACACCACAAGAAGGCTTTCCCTATTATCAACTAAAGTTTGGAACCCAAAGCATACCCCATAAATGTTTTGCAACAATATCATTTCCAGTAAAATTAGCTGTGCCGTCCTCTTGTACTTCAAAGAACCAAACTATAAATAAAAATGAACTTTATGTTTGGCACTAAATAGATGCAGTTATTAGCGATGAGAGATACAACCTTGCTGTAATTGAACACAATGTCAAGCTCGCAAACATTCTGGAAGCATTTGTCCAACGTTTCCACAAAAACTGAAGGCATCATATCTAAAGTAAGTAAAATTATCAAATATTTAAAATAAATATCAATAAGTATTGTTTATAGCTTTCTAGTTTGCAAGTAAATGCATGACAAACCTGCTAAATTGTTCTGATCAGAAAAGGAATGCAATTTAGAGACAACAATAATCCATTGAATCAGTTTAAAAACAATAACGTCTAACATTGTTCATACGAATAAAATGGTTATAAACAGGTCAGTACCTACAAAATGCATGAAATCAAACCTTTCCACTTAAAAGACACCTGAGGTAAATACAACTAAGTTGGCTGACAAAACAACAGCTATCACTGATTCCAAAACACATGAAAATCAATTTTCATTTTTCACTAAATGCTCGACTAACAAAATCTTTTTAATAAAAAGGCGCTTACAAAACAAATTCAACTTCAAATCATCACAAAGACCATAAAAATGGATGTATAACTAAGAAGAACTACATTTTATAGATTGATTAGTCCCTTATAGGTAAATTCTAAAATAAAATTTCGCGGATACCTTGTATCAAGTCAAGCACGGCTAGCTCATTTTCAGAACTATCAAATACAAAGACAAAGTAAAGAGTGGCAAAGTGCTTGTAGACAAGACGACTGTCCTGCAAGTGAGAATTATGAAACAATTAAACAAGTCTCGTAGTAAAGCTATTGCAGTTATTGACAAGATTCACACAAAAGTTCTAATCAAGAGGAGAATGTAAATGGAAACCGATAGGTGTCAAGCCTTACAAGAACAAGAGAAAAATTAGAAAATAAAAGAAATTACCGGACCAAAAATTGATTCTGCATCTATGAAATTGCTTACGTTCTCAGCTCTACTGCACAGGACTGTTAAAAGATAAAAATCAAAACTGAAAGGAGAAGAAAGAACGAAAGACATAAAAGAAATGTAAGTACTAATTCAAGAAAAATCCATTAGGCCGAATACCGAAAGAGATTACAAAAAATGAAAACGAGGTTCAAAAGACCCAAAACAGAGCAATTCAGACTAATCACAAGCTAAAGAAAGAGTAATTTGAGAGATAGAAACCAGCAAAAATGCCGCGTATAAGCTCCTGCTGCTTCTCCACCGGCTGATTTGAACGAAATTCGGAGCCACGTCGATTATTGCGAAGGTATTTGGATTAGTTAACAATATCGCGAACTTCAATTTTGAAATAAAAAAGAGAAACAGAACTTCACCAGGTATTCGTAAAACTTTGCTAGTCGAGTCTTCCCTTGAGTGTTCATCACCATCACAGCTTTTATCATCTTTGCTAGCTTTTCTCACTCTAGCCAAACAGTTTTCCGGATCTGTTAAAAGTGTTCAAATCTGTGTATATAATCAGAAAAAAAATATGAACTTGATGAATGGACAACAATGTCCTCGACGAATTAGTAGAAACAAAATCAAGCCAATGGGGTTAAATTGAGAATATGGGCACTATGGTTAAATTAGGACATCATTATAATAATAAGAGAAACCTATATAAATAGTCATTGAACGTTTAAGTATTTATATTTTTAATCACTAAAACTTCAAAACTTATAATATAATCATTGAACTTTTAGTTATTTTTATTACAACTATTATGATTAATTAACGTTAAAAATATCAATATGATACGATAAAGTAATCTTTTATAAAAATATTTTATACTTTTAAGATTAATTAGTAATTATCGGCCTCCTTTTATATGCATTATTATCGTCCAACATTCTTTTTATTGATATATTATCATTAAACACAAAATTTATCATATTGAAGAATTTCATTATTTTTTATGTTGTTATAGAATGATACGGTGAACGTGGAACTAGTGGAATTTTCAAATAGACATATTGATGTGGTTTTGGAGAAGTAAGGTGAGCGCTTTAGATACATTGGGTTCTATGGAGCATGGGATCGTGGGAGAAAGTGGGAAAGTTGGGCTCTGCTCTATCGAATTAAAAAATATTGGGATTGTTGCAGAACTTTGTCTGTTTGAGCGGTTTTGCTATTTCTTGGGTTGTTATTAGTTTGTTATCTTTTGGCCCATTTAGTCTAATGAAGTCAAACTTAAAAGTGTTGACTCATGAGATTAAATATTGGTCTATTTAAATCATTGAAAAATGTGGGCTTAGAATCATCTAAGAAAAGCCTACATTCTCCTTTTTCTTTTGCTTCATATTCCTCCTCTGATCCTCTTTCGTATCTTCTTCTTCTTGTGGTTTTGCAGCAGGTGCAAAGGGTTGATTGAAGTTTTGTGTGATTTCTCTATGTGGTCAAATCCTTGTTGGTATTCATACTCGTAATCTTGGTTGTGATTCAATGATTTGTCTCTACTACTATTTAATTACAATATGGTATCAAATGTTACTCGATCTTAGTGCCTGTGGGAAATTAAGGTTTTTTTTTGCCTTTCTTACTGGGTTTTTCCGGTAGCTATGGATGATTCATGTGTTCCGATGAAGGTTTCTTTTGGAGAATGGAGTGGTGCTGCCGGTGTTAATCGATTGACAGAATCCCCTTTTGTTCATAAACAAATTAGTGTGTGTCTTGATGATACTAACTTTCTTCTTTGGAAGCAACATGTGATTCTTATGGTCCATGGTCATGAGCTTGATCATCTGTTGGATATGGGGACTCCGATTCCCTCGCAGACGGTGGTTGATAATTGTGGTGAGATTGTGGTGAACCCCGTGTATCGCCTTAATAAGAAATTAGATAGTTCGATGTCTTCGTGGATTCTTTAAACCATAAGTCCCTCGATACTTTCGCAGTTGGTGGGAGTAGAGACTTCAACAAAGATCTAGAGTATTGTTCATAAGATGTATTCAAAGTTGACTACCACCAAGGTCATGAGCTTACATGGGCGGCTTTATTCTCTTAGGAATGGTGATTCTTCAGTTCATGAGTTTTCCACACAGATCAAGGAAATTTGTGACTTACTTTTGTTGAACTATGTTTTATAATATTTTGATATAACAAATGAAGGAAAAATGTTTTTGGACTTGATTGAATTTGTTCAAAGTTTTCAAAAATAATTCAAAGTCCATTAAACTAGAATTTGAGCACAAAACATGATTTCTGGGTACATAGTACCGATACTGTTCTTACAGTATTGATACTAGAACAATACATATATTGTTCATGTGGTACCGATACCAAAGGTATAAGAAGTATCAATACTCTCTAGGTAGTATCGATACTACCAGTTATTTTCCAAATTGCTCAAATTCCATAATGCAAAATAGGTACCGATACCCAAGGGGGTACCTGTAACATCCCAATTATCGGGTCAATGACCAAATTGTAAGAATTCAAAAGCTAGTGGTTTAATTAGAATAGTTTGAAAAATTCAAGGATTTATTGTGGAATTTTAGTTAAGACTTTATATTAAAATTTGATTATAGGAGGGGCAATATGGTTTTTTCTCAATGAAATATTTTTTTTATCTCATTTCTTAAGGGATAAGCACGTGGATAAAGGGAGAAAAGTATGAAACCATTTCTTGTATTCTTCCTCGTGCCCGTGAACTTCACTTCAAAGGTAAGTTTATGTAAGATGTTGGTTCCTTCAATTTTTGGGTTGGTGTTGAAAGTTTGGGTGTTATATAAGCTTAAGGAAAACTTGTAGGGGATTAAAACTAAAAGAGGAGTGAATTAGTAATGAATTGTTGATGTGGTTGAGTTTTTGGACTTATATTGTTAAATTTGACTTGTCAATGATCTAATGAAGGAGACAGGAAGTTTAGAATGAATTAAGAATATGATTGAAAATATGGTATGATTTTTAGATGTAAGTGTTCTAGTGAGATTTTGCATGTTTGAGAGTAGTAAATAGAGTAAAGTTGGTTTTAATTAAGGAAGTTTAGTTTAATGGCATAAAAGGAGAAAAATTAGGAGATTTAAGTAAGTTTTGGTTAAATTTTGATTTCGAGATGGCAATTCTAGGCATGGGGTATCGATACTGGAAGAACAATACCGATACTTTAAGGCAAAATCAATTCAAGTTCGAAGAGCGGTATCGGTACTGTTTGAGGAATGTATCGATACTGAAAGGGGGTATCGATACCAAGGGTATAATATCGATACCATTATCAAGTTAAAATTCCAGAATGCCGAAATAGTATCGATACCGAATGGGGGTATCGATACCATAGAAGGGAAGTATCGGTACTGTAGTGGGAGTATTGATACCATTGATCATGAAATGATAAATTAAGTGTTTCTTTCATTATGAATGGTTATAAGCGATTTGAATTGTGATATTTATTCTCAATTGTTCTTGTGTAGACGTTGATCAAAGTTGAATTCCGGACATTTTGAAGTTATAGATTATCGATATAAAGTGATAAGGATTTCGTGTAGGATTGCAGTAAGGCAAAGATGAGTGCAACTTATTTATTTTGTATTAAAATTGAGGGTGGCTTGCGATAAGCCAACCTCAGTGTTTTCAATTGAAAACATTTCAATTTATTTTATGTTATATATATTTTTTACAATGTTTTATTCAATTTATATTATTTAATATGTGTTTGATGATTATGTGTACATGATTATGAAAACTTAACATGTGAACATGTGTATATGAAAATACTCAAAGTGAAAATGCCTATGTGAACAAGATCTACTTCGAATAATGAATGACAAATAATTATGTGGTTAAAATCCCAATATATATGCATGAGGATTAGAGGTATAGTTGACATGCCAAGTGTCGAGGGTTCTATGTGGTCATTTGGGACAAGACTATGTGGTCCTTTGGGACAAAACCTATGTGGTCCTTCGGGACAAATATGTGGCACTTCGGTGCAAATTATACGAGCTGTGGTGATAGCATTAGTGCACAACCTCAATGTACTCAAATACCTAGAGTTCTCAGTAGTATACATTGGGCATTGAATACAAAGTTATATAAAACGAATAATGTATAAAAAGTATACATTCTTGTTATAGAAAACAATTTGAATTCTTATGATATCTTTCTATAAAATAAATAAAGATTTTTTTAAAGTATATTTTACTCGTAATATCCTCACTAAGTCATCAACTTAGCGTGTGATTTCTTCACGTGTAGGTTTGAAGAAAGTGGAAGGTTAAAGCTAGTCGATGATAGCATACTCCCATGAAGATCAGATCAAGACAAACTAAATATAGGTTTTGTAAAATGTAAATTGTTGGCATGTACTACACGTTTAATTTGAAATACCCTGATCTATTTTTGTAAACCCATACTATTGCATTTATGTAAATTATTAAAGGTTTTATTTAAGTATGAATGTGAGTTTTATCATTTAATTTAAATTAAAGGGTTCTACATTTTTATTATGAATAATAGTTTAAATTGTCCTTATTTGTTAATAATCTATGATTTTAAAAGTTAATGTGACACCTTATATTCTTATCTGAGTCGGGTACAGGTTAGGGGTGTTACATTTAATGGTATCAGAGCTATGGTTTAATTGGTTTTAAGTTCGAAATGAAGTCATTTTTTTACAAAGTGTATATGTCAACTATAAGTTAAGTCTTTCTGGTCTGATAAGGTAACTAGTATACTATCCTTACTAATTAAATAGTTATTTGATCTTATTATATGTCAGATTTTGAGGGCTCCCGAAGTGATGTGGGAGACATGAATGAATGCAGTAGTAACTCACATGTCCCGAGCAGGTAGAGTGAGAATAGGCACATCAAGGAGTGTCTGTACAAGATCAGGGGATCTTTTCCAGACGTTGGATGCGATTATGACACGTTTCCAACCGTTGGCTGCCTCAGCTCCTAAGATGAATGTTGCTAAGGTGTTTAGAAGTTTAGGAGAGCTTGAGTTTAAAGGAGAAGCTGAGGAAGGTTCCATTGCTACTGTTCTGTAGCTTAACGATCTTAAGATAATGTTAGAGAATCTCCATTGTTCTGAAATGGAGAAGTTGGATGGGGTAGTTTCGTTACTGCAAGGTCAAGCAAGAATTTGGTGGTCTAATATGACGATGAGAGTTACAAGGGATCATGTGACATGGTCGTTCTTCTTGGAAGAGTTTAAGAATAAATACATCGGAGATCAGTTCATTCGTCAGGTAAAGCAAGAATTCATGAGCTTAAAGCAAGGGAATCACACTGTGTACGAGTTAGAGTGCGAATTCAATAAGCTAAGAAAATTTACAGTGGAGTTGGTTCCTACAGAAAAAGACTCATATGATTGGTTTGTGGAAGGTTTATGCCCTCGCTTGAAAGAGTTGTTGTTGACACTAAACCTCTCCTCATTTCAAGAAGTAGTGAATCGAGAAAAAGCTCTGTAGCAAGCTCAAAATGAGAGATTTGTGAAGCTAATGACGTAATGGAATAA